TTCAAAAGATATATACAGTGGATAGACCAAGCAGGGGTTTGGGGTTCGGATTCTCAGAACCTTAGTTTTCATGTTTGTAAATTGGAGATACTACTGTCAAAAAAATCTTTAAAAACAACAAAAAAAGATATAAATAGTATAAGGCATGCAAGGCATCTTTATTCTTGGAAAACCAGTATACAAGAGAGGTTCAGAGGTAGCCCAGGTGTGTCCTGGAATAAGTTTGTAAGCTGAGTCTCTGTTTCCCATCTGTAAAATCAAGATAATCTCACCACATCATAATATTATGAGGATTCAATGAAATAATAATTAGCCACGTATTTAGCAAGTGAATAATATTCAGAAGTTCTCAATACTTGTTAGATTTCGTTTCATTTCTCTTTCTTTCTAAGCTCATTATTTCCTTTCCTGTTTAATGAAAACAACTTTAACTGCCCTTAATATATCAGAAAATTTTATTAGAAAATATTTTATACATAAGTGATTAAAAAAGAACCCTAAAACACTGATGTGTTATAAACACAAGCCATTTTTATAATACTTTTACTTATTTGTTCAGTCATTTGACAGATGTTTAGCAAGCACCGATTTTGTGTTAGGTATCAAGCATACAATATACGAATGTGAAGATGAATGAGATACATTGCCTCCCTATCCGAAAGTAATTCACAACCTGTTAGAGAAGGGAAGATTTGGACTTGAATAACTAAGGATTTGAGGCAGTACTATGTGTAATTAATGTCATGAAAGTGGTATAAGAAAATGCTATTCAAGCATGAGAAAAGATTCCACCATTTTTGGATAGAATATTCAGAAAAGAAAGAATTTATGACAGCATCAATATCTGCTCTAGTATTTGAAAGAAGCATACAACACTGTTAGATAGAGGTAGACATTGAGTCATTCCAAAAGGTAAGAAGTGTTCAGAGGGAAAAAATAAGGGGCAATGTATATTTCTGGACTGACAAGTAGTCTGACTTGGCAAAAGTCTACAGTATACAGACAAGGACATGGCAATAGGAAACTAGAAGTGTAGACTAAGATACCATATGCTGAGGGGTTTGTAGTTGTTTTTTCTTGGCAGACAATGGAGAGCCATTGGAGAAATTTATGGAGTGGAATACCTTGTTTAAGTTATTTTAAGAAGAAACCTGGCAAGCAGGATGCATGAGTCTGGAAGATGCTAGAGAGAGGAAGACTAATTTTGAAGATCCTTTGACAGTTCAGGTGTGAGGTCATAAAGAAGAGAATAAAAACATGACTCTTGGGAATGAGAAGGTGGCCAGGGATTCACAGATATTGTGGGAAAAAATCAATGGGATAGGGGAACTTATTGGATGAGGAAGTTATATAGGGGACAGAAAGATTCTGAAGCACAATGATTTTTAAGAAGAAAGCTAAACAAGACTGGCACAGATAGAACTTAGTTACAAGAGGAAAGTAGCAGGAGAGGAAAAAAAGAGGCAGCTAAGTGTACAATGTCTCTCTCTGCAGTGAAAAGAATGACAGAAAAAGGACAATAGCTTCACAGAGTATTGCAGCTGGGAGCATAATGATTAAGAGTGCAGAACTCTGAAGCTAGATTTTCTGAGTCCAAATTCTGGCTCTGCCACCTACTCGCTGTGCAACTGCAAGCTACGTACTTAAACTCTCCAGGCCTCAGCTCTCTTATCAGTAAAACAGGAATAATAATAGTATCTACCCCGTGGGTTAAACAGTTGGCATTTGTTATAAATTCGATATGAGTTTTTGCATTTACTATAGCAAAACTGAAAGATGTATTGGAGCATAGAGAAAACATGGCATATTGTAAGTAGAAAGAAACAATCATTAATTCATTCATTTGACTAAATTGTGTCGATTGATTCTTGCCACATGCCAGGCTTTGTTTTGGGTATTGAGGGTACAAAGTGATCAAAACAAGCAAAATCTCTGTCCTCATAGAGATTATATTAAAATATGGGAAACAAATAATAAAGAAACACAAAAATGCAAGCAGCGTGGTCATATACATTAATTTAAAAAAAGGAATGAAGCAGAATGAAGAAGGTAGAGCGACCGAAGAGACTATGTTAGGCAAATGCCAGGGAAGACCTGTTTGTGGTGGTGACAGTCCAACACAGACCTGAGGGAAAAGCCACGTAAGTATCTAAAGAAAAGAGATTCCAGGCAAAGAGAACAGCAAGTGAAGAGCCCCTGAGTTGGAACATGCATTATTCTCCAAAGAACAGAGAAGAGGGTCGTGAGGCTAAAACCGATTATAGAGAGTAGTAGCAAGAGGCGAAGTGAGGGTTATGGCTGGGGGTTGGAGCATGTGGTGCCTTGTAGGACATGGTAAAATCACAGTATTTTATTCTACATGTAATGGGAAGTCAGCAGAAGTAACATGACCAAATTCATATATTGAAAGGCTGCTGTGTAGATAACTTACTGTTGGGATAAGAGTTAAAGAAAAGTGACCAGTTACGAGCTTATAGCTGCAGTCTATAATCTGTAAGAGATGGAGGTGGTGTAGCTAAAGGCAGAGCAGAGGAGATGGGAAGAATTGGTCAGATTTGGGATAGGTGTTGTAAACAAGAACTACAGGCTTTGGTGAAAGATTGAATTTGGGGTGTGAGGATGTCAGAATAAAGAAGCATGAAACTAGAGCTTTTAAAAGGAGTCAACGAATGAACAATGGTGCCATTTATTTATTTATTTTTTTCTTCTTCTCCCCAAAGCCCCCGGTATGTAGTTGTATATTCTAGTTATGAGTACCTCTGGTTGTGCTATGTGGGATGCCACCTCAGCATGGCCTGATGAGTGGTGCCATGTCTGTACCCAGGATCTGAATCAGCGAAACCCTGGGCTGCTGAAGCAGAGTAGGCAAACTTAACCACTCGGCCATGGAGCCAGCACCAGTGGTACCATTTATTGAAATGGGGGAAAACAGTAGGAAGATCACATTTGGGGGGAAGGAAAGGGAATTACGGAAAAGCAAGATTTCCATTTTGAACGTAGCTGAATCAACTACTAGATTTCCATTTGGAGAAGCCGAGTCAACAGTTGATATAGAAGTTGATACGGATTCTGGAAACAGATTAAGCTGGAGATACAATTTGGGATTCATCAGTATTTACATGGCATTAAGGCCATTGGTACTAGATGACATCATCTAAGAAGCTAGTGTAGATGGAAGAGAAAAACCTGAGAATTGAGCCCCGGGTCACTCTCTGACTGTTAGAGATCGGGATTAAGAAGAGGAATAAGTAAAAGATACTGAGAAGGAGCAGCCAGTGGGATAGGAAGAAAACCAGGAGCATTTAGTATACTACAAGCCAAGTGAAGAAAGTGTTTCAGGAAAAAAGGTGAGAAGCAATGTCAAATTTTGCTGAGCACCTGAGAATTGACCATTTGATTTGACAATCTGGAGATTATTGATAACCTTAGCAACCATGATTTCAGTAGACAGGGACTGTGAAAATCTCATTAAAACTAATAAGGAAGATTAAAAAGAGGAAAAACTGAGTATAGACAGTTTTTAAAGTTTTTCAGGAAAGGGGAAGAATGAGGCTTTAGTTGGAGGGGAAGTGGTATGAAGTGAGAGTGCTTTAAAATAGAGGTTGTGACAGAATGCCTGTATGCTTATTGCAATTATCAGTAAGGAGAGACAACGGATGACACATCAAAGGGCAGGGATAATTACAGAAGAGTCTTTAAGTAAGTGAAGAGGGATGACAACAGGGAAAGAGCTGGTTTTAGGTAGGAGCACAAACACATTGATTAGATTTGATGGAAGGATAAGGATACCATTTCTGAATGCTTCCTTTCTTAGTGATAAAAGAAGAAAGATTATTAGCTGAGAGTAGGGAAAGGAGAGATGTATTGGGAATCTGAAAAGTAAGACTAGGTATAAGACATTCATCTTATAAAGTGAGACAATGATTGACTAGAGAAACACATTGGCATTTCCTAATAGATGACCACTCACCTTGAATTAGTGGTTGTAAATGCCCAGCAAGAAGGTGCTTTCTCCAGATAAAGTCAGCTGTTAGGATACATGGTAAGAGTTGGTAGAAGAGCTAATATAACCATGGCTGAATTTTTTCCAGGTGAGTATGATGCGGAAGGAGGACAAAAGATGATGAGGGTGTTTGCAAGGGACTGAAGATAATAAGTGACTATGGATTCTAAGCTGAGTTCAGAGGGAAATGAGAACACGAGGCAGATGAGGCACAGTGGAAAGGCGGCAGAGTTAATGGACTGGAGGTCTTAATGGAATTGAAGAATCGCTGGCAGGAGAGCAATAAAATAAGTGAGCAGGAAAGTAACGAGGTGATAGAAAATGGTATGATAGAAACTAACAATTTGTAGGGGTTGCAATTATTGGTTTAGTGTATGACATGGAATTGACAAACTGAGGTGGGAAAAAGCCAATATCAGTGCAGATAACATAAAGGAACTAACGCTTTAGGGCATTGGATGGATTATCTGCATAGATATCAAATTACCAGGATTGATCACAGAGGTAATTGGAAAGGAAGTGATCCCCAGATGCTAATGTCTTCAGTGAATGCGGGAGTATGACAGAAAATTTCAACAAGAAGGGTGTAGTAAGTGGATATCTGTTAACACTTGATTCAAGTGTGCTAGATCACTTACATCTGAAAATTGGACCTATTAAAAACGTAAAAGAAGCAATGAGCATTAGAATAAGATCGATAATACCGACAGAAATTTTGGCTCTTTCTCCATCAATTCATATTTTTTACAATTCTTTAAATATGCAGCCATCTGTTTGCCGACAGACAGACCATTTGATTGTATGCAACAAACACAACAATAACAGTGTAAAAGCACTGAGTTCTAATTATATATGATATGGATTTAGTCATTCTTTATTATGTACATTTGCCCAGAAAGTTCAGAGAAAACTTTAAATATCATTTGATAGTTTGATATAGAAAAGATGAAAACAGAAAGCACTTTGTTTCTTTATTGTAGTACCAATCTTTACTCACTAGGACTGTTGGATTGCGCGTCCATAGGAATCATGAGCTTGGCACGGGTAGCTCGGCGTGCAGCCAGTGACCTCTCCAGAGTGGACATGGAGCTCCCTGCTTCTTCAGTGTCTTGACCTAAAAGAAAAACGATACTCCTGAGAGACACATCTTCTTCAATGACACAACAATTCACGTCATTTCTAGCCAGGCACTAGAGTGCTTTTTTCATTTTATTGATGTTTTAAATAATAATACCTACTTTCTTGTTAACCAATCAATAGACTCTCATTGTACAAAGATCAATAAAATTTACCATAACCTCATTACCCAAAAAGAACCATTATTTATATTTTGTTGTTTATCATTTTTGCACATGTATGCATATGTGAAAGTGATAAGGTATATATTCATTTTTCAAAAGTGGCATTATATCATACATACTATTTTGTAAACTTCTTAAGGAAATAACAAGATTATCTTTCTCTATCAGTAATACAATTTTTAACAGCTCCATAACATTCAACTGTACGAATTTAGCACAATTTATGCAACCAGTACTTAATGCCCAGACATTAAATCTCATTTTAAAAACAAAGGAAATAAACTGCATTCTTCAAAAATAAGATTAGGAATATTTACGTAAATGTATTATGATTCTATAAAATGTCATACTAAAGAGTCATTGAAAAATAAGTAATAATCATATATGCATATTTGAAAAGTAGACAAAAATATATGTTGAGAGAAACAAAATTGAAGTTCTGAATAGTTTAGGCAGAAGACTTGCTGGTCTACCTTGTGTCTATTAAACTGAGGAAGGGGTAATTGAAGAGAGCAAGGCTGAGAAAGGGCCAGTGTGGATTATAGGCTTTCTTTCTCCTCATTTGGCCTGGCAAAGATGTAGCAGCTTCCTTTGGGTCAAGTGGGCACTTGAAAAGTTGGTCAGGCTTGAGTCTTTTTGCTGGAATTCACATAAGTACAGCTGTCCCACCAGAGGGCCTTTGAGGCTGACATGCAGAACTGTTCCTGGCGTGAGAGCTTTACGCTGTGACTTGATATCCTGTATCACAGAATTGGCCAGTAGAGGAATCTCATAGGATCTCATAAAGGATTCACACTTGTGTTTCATAAGGGACCCAGAATTGGGATGCCACATGAGGAGAGCCCATGTGCCCAGAAAAGCAGAAGAACTTCAAATCATCCTTTCTTCCCTCCCTCCATCTTTGCCTTTGTCCTCTCTTCTCCTCTTTACCTCCCCTCCCTGGCGTCCCACATAACCAGGAAGAGCGGATAAGCAGGAGGAGTAGGTAAAGGTATTTCTGAAACAGACTGCGCCCCTCCTTCTGTCCCACCCCCACTGCTCCATTTCACTCCAAGGTACTGAAGGATTTAAAGAGCAAATTGTGACCCCAGTCCTAAGAGCCAAAAGCCTAGCTGGCCATAAAGGAAAAATAATCTTTAATTTAAATTTCAGATTGTAGTTTTAATAGAACTGGACTATAGTTTAATAACTGAAAGTGACAGAAAAGTTAGGGACTCTGCTTGAGATATTATTTAAGGTCTAGAAAAGGAATACTCAGTACCTCATGACTGGAAATCAGTAATTGAAGTTTTTGTTTAAACAATTCTAAGCTGAGAAAGTCTAGTTAACCTGGTGCATATTCAAACAACTAATATATTTTAACTCAGTTTAAAAAACAACAACTACTCATTCTACAAACACATCATGAGTAGACCAAGAGATTTTTTTTTGATGAGAGTACTTGGTTGATTAACTTCTCATAAGCATTTTGAAAATGTAGGGACCCACAGAAAGTAAAATATCTTACAACCACTTTCTAGATTTCTTAGTGATTGTCGGATGTGGGCTGTTCTGCATCAATTCATTAAATGGTAGGCTACTTTTCTTTAGAATACTTTGTATACCAACAGAGTCTTCAGATAGATTCCATCAAACTAGACTAGTGATCACATAACGTGATTGCATGGGGATGACAGCTGATTTCCATGGTAATCAAGGCGAAGTAACAGAATAATCAATGTTTTCATACTTCAAGTGTCCCTGACGTGATTTTTCAAAGCAAGGAGTTGACATCAAATTTAAAATCAACTTTCAATTATCCACAGACATAGTGAGCTCAAAAATGTACCAATGGCTTCAAATTTCATTGCCTTGACAAAACCCTTGTTCAAGATTTAACAAAAAGCAGTCAATTCATCTAGGCTTCACATTTTAATCTTTCTCAGCTGGATCACCACCTCTTAGTTTCAAGAAGCATTACAATTATAAAAGGCAGGCGAAAGGATGATGGAATAGAAAGTAAACCTAGTTAACTGACCAAATTTATAACAGATTATTTAACCATTGGAAAATCACCTGCAAATTAGTGGAATGGATACCTCCACGAAAGAGGGAGTGGAGAACTCTGTTATGGGGTTCAGAAAGGGATGTTTTTCCTGATGCCAGAAAGAAGAGTTACCTGAATGAGAGGTGCTTTTGCTCCCCAGTTGGGTTTCTGACTGGCTGTGACTGACTGGTGTGAGGTCTTGGCAACTCTGGATGGGGGAGTCCCTTCCAGGTGGGTCAGTGCCTGCTGGCTTCTCAATGTTTTTCATTTCCATTTCTTCATGATGAATCCAAAGATCAGGGGGCCGGAGGTCCTTCTGGCTGCCCTTCCTTTTGCCAACACTGTGAGTGGCCCGTTTCCTATGGAACAAAATTAGAAGGCAAATGTAAGTGCCTCTTTTCCACGGCCCTTCCTCTTTTTTCTCAGTCAATTCAAGTTAGAAGCAGGGAAGGAAACAAAAGCGCTCCCAGGAGGAAACCTGTGAAATCCAGGAATTGGCAGACTTGTCTTGGCTGCTTTCCCCCTCTCCCCAGGAGATTCACCACATTATAGGAGATGTGGGGCTGAATCCCCAGGGCCACGGCTGCCTGCCAGAAAGCACCTTATTCTAGCTTTCCCGGCTGCAAATTCTCACACAAGGTGACAATGGGTTAGATGGAACCATATGCCAATCTGTGAAGCTAGGCATACGGTACCTGACTGTAACATCTGTTTAGGAGATAAATGAAGGAGTTGCTTCGAAAGGGCAAATAGAAATTAAAAAGCAGAACTTGTGCCAACAGTAAAGATTGGGGCTTAGAAAAATGTCTATACCTCAGCTGTATAATTTAATGTGCAATTGGGAAGCTTGCTATTTGAAGACAAAAGGCCACACGAGGACATTCTTAGGAGAATAAAACCCTTTTGCCTTGAGTCTCTAAGTATCTGGATTCAAACACAATAACACTCATTCTTTGAAAAGAGAAGAATACACTTTGGAAGAGTGCTTCAAATGCCTATTTTCCTCAACAAGAATTTAGCAATCATAAATTTATTTTTCAGTCGTAGTCTCTTCTTGGTGCTAGTGAGATTCATATGTTCCCTGCATGCTAAGTAAAGTAGCATGATGCTCCTGTTAGCCATTCTCTACAGCAGGGTTCAGAAAACTATGGCCTGAAGGCCAAATTCACCCACTGCTTATTTTTGTAAATAAAGTTTTATTGGAATCCTGCCCAGCTCCTTCGTTTCAGTACTACAGTGTTAAATGGTTGCAACACAGACCATATGGCCTGCAAAGTCTAAAATATTTACTATTTGGCCCTTTTCAGAAACAGTTTTCAACTTCTGCTCTATGGTTTTATAATTTTTAAGTCTCCACTTGTAGCTTCTTCTTTTAAAATAATAATGGCTCTTCACAAGGCAGAATTCAGACAGTTAAATCTAACCTTTGGCAGAAGCCCAAAGAAGTACCTTCTTCTCATTTTCCTCCCTTGCAAGGAATGGTTTATGAGAATAGTTGTTTTCATGGTCACTAAACTGTTCAAGTAAACTTCCAATTTCAGTGAAAACACTTTGCAACCTGTGCAAGGCCACTGAGAGTGACCTTGTTTTCCCAATTGTTGACTAAGAATCTTTGCACATATTAGGCAATTAATAAGTTTTTAGTGGTATGATTTGTTGAATTTGCCTTAACATTCTTTTTTTCTTTCTTGATGCATGCTGGGGAGCATAGGAGACAAAGAACCCCAGACTTACTATCTATCTAGTAGTTTAGTAGAGAAATAATGCAGTGTTTTCTGCTCTAATATTTTCCCAACAACTACCTGCATTTTGCTGATTTCCTGGCAGCAGCTCCACAGTGACTCTAGACAATGGTCTATAATAACCTCTAGATCCTTTTCTTGTGTCTAAGATAACTCTCTGCTAACCATCCATTCCCTGAATTTATTTCCTTACACTTCACTAGAAACTAGTGTGCAACTCACACATAGCTCTGTATGTGATCTACCCCTGGTGACTTAGAAGAATTTAATGCCATTTTTAAACTTGGAGATTTCACCCTGTTATCTTTCTTTCTAACAAATCAAAATGCTAAATAACTTTAACCGCAGTGTGTACATGACGGCATACAGAGAAGTACCGGTTCCCAAATCCAGGACAAGACAGTCAGACTTTTCATGATAACTCAATATTTAAATAGCCTGTGGTAAGGAAATTTGACAAATGATTTTTGGAACTAGATATAAACTATGAATTCTGGTTTCTCCTTGCTTACATGCATGCCTTATTCATTCATTTATTCATTTACCAGTCCCTGTGACCTCAGTTCCAAGCATCCCCAGGTGTACTGCATTAAAAAAAACGTTTCAAATCTGATTGAGGCAGAACTTTCTTGTGTGCTATGATTTCTAACCTCTGTCTGGGAAGAGATTATCATTCCTGATAAAATGCAAAAGCATTTTTCTGATGGATTTTGATCAAATCAAGACCTCTTCTGAGAAGCTACTCATCCACCCAGCTGACAGCCAAGAATCTAAAGATCTCTAAACAGACTTTATTTGCTTTTTTGTGTATATTCTATGAAAGACCATCTAACCACTTTTGTTTCCTGTAATGTCTCTTATCAAGAGAGAAATCTTTGCCTTGGAGAGGCCTCCTCTGCCGGTGGTAGCCCAGAGCAGAAGGTTTGTAATAAAACTGACATCTGCTCATAACTAAATCACCTGAATTTGTCTTAAAACCTGTAGGAACGGTTGTCACCCTCGACTTCTGTCCATCTGTTGGTTCCCTGACATAATGACTGCTACTCATTGCAGCCCCCAGTTCCTCTGTCTCACCATTGGAATCTTCAAAATTTGTCAGCAGACGAACCTAGGTCAATGGGTCCTGAACTGTAGTCCTCAGACAAAAGTATCAGCATCACCTGGGAGCCTGTCAGAAATGCGCATTCTCAGCACACACCTCAGATCTTATGAATCAGAAACTTGGTGGCGGGGGGCAGCAATCTGTGTCTTAACCTTCCAGAGGAATCTGATGCACCTAAAGTTTAAGAGGAACTGTCTTATTGAATTATTTGGTTTTGCTTGTTTTTGTTTTAAAACTAATTTTTCTATTAGGTATACAATACGTCACATGTTTATCCCTCTCCCACATGCTCCTTTCCTCACAGTTACCCGTAATCTGTCAGATTCCAAAAATAGTCATAGGCTAGGAATGTCTCTTCTCACCCCCTGTATTCTCGAATAAGGCAAAGCAAGGAATCTTCCAAGGCTCTCTGCTGTCTCTTTCTCCTACTGGCAAAGCTTTCATGGTGTAATCAAGAACTGATGTTTTGTCTTTTATTTTATCTATCTGTCATTTATCTGTCATCTATCTATCTATCTATCTAATCTTACTTCTGCCCAGAACGCCTTCAGCATCCTATTTGCTTACAAACTACTTATTCTTTAAGAGTCCCTTCAAGCCTCTCTCCATCAGGAGGACTTCCTGACCCCTTAGGTCAGTGTAATCTCAGAATATCCAAATCATTTCCCTCATCTCTGTACCATTGACCCTGAATGGAACACCATCTGTTTTACTGAGCTGGCCAGATGCTCCCTGTGTGTCAACTGGTTTCCTCCAGTGATACTCGAGCAAATTCTGTTCCCTTCACTTCTCCAACATCATCCACTGTTTTACAATATTTATTCGTTTATTCAGTGAACACATATGCAATGTTGACTATGTGTCAAGTAATGTGCTAAGTATTAGAAATGCAAAGATAGGTGAGACATTGGGAGCTCAGTACATGAATGAAAAATGGCATGGCTTCTAGAAATTTCTGCATCATTGGAGTAAGGAGCAGGCACTGGGACATGGCACGTAGTTAAGACGAAACAGTAGAGAGGACCAAATCACAGGAGGCCTTAGCTCCAACAGAAACATTTTTAATAACATCAGTAAGTCAGTGGGGAATTGCCGAAAAATTTTTAGCTCACAAGTTAACCTTGATCAGATTTGTTACTTTACATGATGCAGATCACATACTAAGCAGATAGTAATTACTTGAATTGAAAAATGAAAATTTTTCCTTATTGACTTGGGAACATTTCCAAGTTCTTCTCTCTCTCTCTTTTTTTTTTTTTTAAAGATTGGCACCTGAGCTAACAACTGTTGTCAATCTTCTTTTTTTTTTCCTGCTTGTTCTCCCCAAATACCCCCAGGACATAGTTGTATATTTTAGTTGTGGGTCCTTCTAGTTGTGGCATGTGCGACGCTGCCTCAGGATAGCCTGACGAGCGGTGCCATGTCTGCGCCCAGGATCCAAACAGGCAAAACCCTGGGCCAGTGAAGTGGAGCATGCGAACCCAACCACTCAGCTGCGGGGATGGCCCCTCCAAGTTCTTTTCTGATTATTCTTTTTTTCCTTCTTCTCCCCAAAGCCCCCCGGTACATGGTTGTATATTCTAGTTGTGAGTGCCTCTGGTCATGCTGTGTGGGATGCCACCTCAGCATGGCCTGATGAGCGGTGCCGGGTCTGCGCCCGGGATCTGAACTGGTGAAAACTCTGGGCCACTGAGGCGGAGCACAACGACTTAATCACTTTGCCATGGGGCGGCCCATGGACCACTTTTCTTAACTAAACTCATTTAGGTTAGGGAAGGTTTCAGGAAGAAAGGAAGCCTGAATTGAGTGTGAAGAGTGATTACCAGTTAACCAGGAAAAACTATATTGGGAATATATACCTCCCCCACTTCCTCCATCTAAATCTTTCCCAAAGGTTTCCTACCTCCTAATTCTTCATATTGATTATTTTTATTCTACTCACTACTATTAAAAACAAAACAAAAAAAAACTTATATTGGAAAACCCAGGGAAAACGTATTCTAGATACGCAAATAAACCTGTATTTTCTGAGTAGGAATTAAAATACATTGAAGTCCTAAGTGGCTGCCAGTTAAAATCCATGTGTGGTGAGTACTGAAAAATGATTAAAAATGTTAAAAAATTGAAAATGAGTGAAAGTGATCTATAGTAGTTAAAGTATAGTAGATTTCATTTGATACTTAATACTCAAAATTATTTTCGTCAAGATCTGAGTTGTATTAATACTTAAGACTTGCTGTGTATATCCAAATCAAATAGGAGGCCTAGTCAACCAGTGACTCTATCAAATAAACTTGAATTTTATTTACATATTTAAATGCAACGTATTCAGACAGGTTGTTGATCACCTATCCAGGTAACTGCCTTAGAAATGTGATAACCATGGGTTTCCAGGATAACCTAGACTTCTAGGATATTCTCAAGGTCAAATATTTTGTCTTTAGTATCTGTAGATGCATTCTAACTTATCATAATACATGTTCTATATTTTGGCCAGGAAAGTGTTATTTCTTTATCAAAAATCACAGAATAAAACCTCCCATCAATTTAAACTTTCATAAAACATAATTTTTCTATATATATTTGATTATAATCTCTATAACAGGAGTCTTTTTAAAGTAGTAAAAAAATTAAAACTAATAACTAACTAAAAAGAAATGCAAAATTATTTTTATTTCATATTAATTTGAAGCTAAATGCTTCCATGTGATTCTATAATTTAGTAGTATTCCATGGGGAATTCCAGTTTTTTAAAGGAAAAGTGGCTAATAGAAAGTATTTAATCCTATTTCTCATTTGAGGAAACTGACGTTCAAGGATTAGGTCTTCCTGTAGGTGACACAAGTAGTTTAAGTAAAGGAGGGGTAGAATGAGAACCAGAACTTACGTTCTAACTTCTGTTAGGTATTTTATGTCATAAAAATCAAATCTTACCAACTAGAATGTGAATGAATCCAAAAACCTACCTCATTATTAAATATATGGTGTAATACACAAAAATATGTTTCAAATTCATTTGAATGCCATTCAAGTCCCTCAATAAAATGCAAAGAAAATTTACATTCTCCAGCACTCCCAGATAAAGGATATTGAAGAAGCTTATGAATGTGTTTTCTACTTCGTCTTATTAATTAAACTCCTGTTTTTCAGAGAGCCCTGTAGAGGACATTATTTCTGTTTCAGATTGAAATTGATTTCGCTTTCATCTGCATTACTTAATTTGTTCTAAACGGTTCAACAGTGGCGGTATGGGGGGAGGGGTCCTTAACGAAATCAAGTCAAGCTAAATTAAAACTCAGAAATAAATTGAAGGACATCATTTTCTTTTTATCTGTTAAGATATACAAACAAAAAGACCAAGATGAATGCCAATAGGTCTGTTACTGAAGAAAGATATAGGATATAGGAAGCAAAATTGTCAAAATATGCCAAATAAATATTAAGAGGCTTTGGGAGCTGGGTGAGGAAAACTAAAGTGGCAGCAGCATGAGAGCTATAAAGTCACTTTCTTTGCATTTTTAGTCATTCGTGGACGGATTTATTCTTTCATTCGTTCCTTAGTTTTAAAAACAAGTCATACTCAGGGCTCAGTCTCTACTCGTCCTAAATAAAACCTTCAAGCTCTTACCAAAGCTCTTAGGGTGGGATTTAAGACAATTTGAGAGTTTCTCAAAATAGCATCAAATCCCACTTTTGCTCACTGGAAAGAGTAGCATTTTCTTTGTGGAGAAACAAAATGTGATGAATCCAGTTCATCAGGTCAATATAACCCTCAAACATTCTTCTCACCACGATGAAAATGGAAAAAGCAAAACACCCCACTACAGATGGTTTAGTTAATTAGATCTAGTTTAGTGAATTAATCCATGTCTTTAAAACTATGGTGAAATAGGCCACGTTTGGGTTGGTGTCCTCCTCACTTATGTTTATGTGAATCTTTCTTAGTTCTGCTTCAGAGACCTGCTCTCCTGATGTTCCACCATTCTGTGCTTATATGGTCTGTTTCCTGGGAATGCTGGACCAGGAGTTGTCCAACGCCTTAGTCAATCACAGTCATTTTTTCCCCAGAGCCTTACTAAGTGCCCAGCACTCTGGAAGATCTGTGAGTGACTGTGACTTCCCAGGATGCTTACACATGAAACCGGCTCTGTTAAGCTCATTCTGTCTGGTTCCTGGTTCGGGCACAATGGAGCAGCACACCAGTTATGACCAGTTTCAAGATATTCCAATCTCATGAATGCATGAATTTTATATCATGAAGATATAAAATTTGCCTTGCACATAAATAAATTAAATACAAAGACTGCATCTACATCCCTATGTCACTTTCTTCAGCACGTACATCTTCCTGTATCCTGTTTCCAAGCACATCACTTCAAAATGCTGGAAGGTACACTTAAGATCAAGAAATAGGGTCAGAGGACTGTTAAAAAGAGAGAGAAAGGCTGATGTATTAGTAAGGGAAGATGGAAGATTATTTGCTAGAGAATCTTTCTCTAGCAATGTGTGTGGTATGTAGTTGTCAAACCAGCCACCTATGGACCCATGCCCCAGGCTTACAGAACCAGCACCATGCCTGAGACCAAAAAAGAAAATCAAAAGAAGAACCCATTATAGCCAATCCAGTGAGAGAGTACAGCTGAAAAAGATATATTAGGCTGAATTTGAAAAGTGCTAGAGAGGCAAAGAGGCAGAGAATAACCAGGAGATATTGTTGCTTCCCACAGCTAGCTGCCCCAAGTTTAATATGCCAGTTATGGGGTGTTGCTGGAAGGGGATGAGCGGAATTAAAACCACCTTTCCATTCTAAACCTTGTACTTTGATGTATCACTCTCTACATGTGCTATAACCTAGAGCTGCATAAGATGAAAATAGTTTTAAACCCCTCAAAATTCTTAATTTCTGAAAAATCAACCACAGTCAGGAAATCAGAGCCATTTTAAATTTCTGGAATCTCTCTTCCAGCCTAACTACTGCTTCCAAACTAAACACTCCATAGTATTATAACTACATCAAGTTTGGTATTCTGTATTTAGTCATTCATACAACAAGGATTGATGCCTCCTTGCCAAAAGGGATAAATAAGTACTTTTTGAGGAAGACACATCTCCAACCTTTTATACATAATTGCGGAGAGGCCCATAAGTAGGGACATGGTAAAATTCATTCTCTAAATGCTACTTAAGAAACACCTGTCCTCACTTGAAAGGAAGAATCTGACTTCGAGAAGTAAAATCAAACAGAAATGCAAAGTGAGTCTCCAAGTGGATTCTGCTATTTAGTCTGCAAGTCTAACCCTCACTCCCTTAAGTCATGGGCCTGGAATGGACCAACAGCAACATTTTGCCCAGGTCAGGAGAAAAGGAAAATGTGGAGAATTATAAAAGAGCACAGGAAGAGAGTTGTCAAAAATATAACTCAAAAAGATGGTAGTCGCGTCAAGCAGTGTCTTCTCTCCTCTTGGGAACCAGCTGTTACCTACTTTCTCTGCTGGGCTGAAGAGCGCCGGGTGCAAATCACAGCCACGATCACCACCACCAGCACTGTGATGACACCAACGGTGACCACAATGATCACAAGCAGGTTGCTGTTCTTCTGAGGAGTGACGCTGCCATGTGGGGGGTGCATCTGGCCAATGGGTGGCTCTGGGAAAAGACAGGCAAATGGAGGTCAGGTTTAGGGAGATGTGGCAGCCCATTGTTCATCAAGTTCTGCTAAGAGTTCCTATTGTTCTGGGCATTCCTGAAGCTGGGAAAAAAGTAATGAAAAATGAGAGGAAAAATCTAAATTATCTACCCAAGAAAAATGAAACCTATGTCCACATAAAAATTTATACAGGAATATTCGTAGAAGCATCTTTTAGAATAGCCAAAAGTGGAAAAAGATCCAAAAGCCATCAACTGACGAATGGATAAATAAATGTGGTAGATCCATACAATGAAATACTTTCCAGCCATAAAAAGGAATGAAGTACTGATCCACCCTACAACATGCATGTACCTTGAAAACATTGCATTAAGTGAAAGAAGCCAGACACAAAAGGTGGCATATTGTAGGATTCCACTTATATGAAATATCAAGAATAAGCAAATCTACAGAGACAGAAAGTAAATTAGTGTTTGCCAGTGGACAGGGGAGAAGTGAATGGGTAAGAGTGCTAATGGGTACAGGGTTTCCCTTTAGGGTGATGAAATGTTCTGGAATTAGATAGCGATGGGGGTGGCACAACCTTGTGAATATACTAAAACTCACTGAATTGTGAATTTTAAAAGGGTAAATTTATGGTATGTGAATTATATTTCAATAAAAAAACAAAGAATTAAGCTGTCCTGTTGAGCAGGATGCAGGGAGGGGAGGAAGAAGGCTGCTTTGTACTCTAAGAATTCCAATGTGACAAGAACAGAGAAGGCTGGGGCTTATGAGAAAATACTACGTATTTGGTGCTGCGAAAGACAAACTATTTGACACCAATCACTCACAATTTACTTCCATTCCTTTCAAGAAACTATTCATAAAGCACATTTAATTTTCAACCTGTCAAGGGTCTATGAATCCCACTTAAAAGCAGCCACTGGGTTTGAAAGTGTCATAAAGTCCTGATATGAATGTTTTCCTGTGTTGCAACAATACCTCATGGTAGACAATATTTAGGCAAAAATAACAAAATAAGAAGACATTTTTGATAAGTTGATTATGTAAACAAGAATGGCTAATGACCCTTTAAATCGCTTTCTTTAAAGCCTCAGTGATCAATCAATTAGAAATACTCTGTTTTAATGTTTTATGTTTGTCATTGCAAGGTACAAATTTTTTAAAAGTGAATATTAGCTTACAGTTTTATTCATAACAATTTAGAAAGTAGCAGATAGCAATGAGTTTGGATGTTTTCCTAGACATAAGTTTGAGTGTTTCTTTAACAATCTATATTAGCTTTCTATACCCCTTGAGCAAAACATTTAGGTCTTTTTCACCTCAATGCCTTTATCTGTAAAATGGAAATAAGAATATTTGTATACAGTTACTGTCAGAACTAGAGAAAATACATATGAAGCAACCATCTCAGTGCGTGACACAGAGAAAGTGCTTAAATATCATTATACTGCTGAAACATTGATTAAATTGTTGCCTAAATTAATAATCTACCATGCCATTTGGGGCACTTCTGCTGTGGACTTCCAAAGGACAACATTTTTAGAAATTTTCACTCAACATGAAAGCTAAACTAAATTCTCACAAATGAGCATAATAACCCAATACTTGTCTCTATATCAAAACACTATTTTTTGACAGTTAGTGAAGAATCATTGCTTTTATGAAGATAGTCACCTAAATTTAAATAAATTATTGCTGATTCACTATTATTGGAAAAATAATAAGTGCTTCTGATATAACTTGAATCGCAGAGGAGGAACTCATCAAAAGTCTTTAAATTACACTTTCTGTTAAAAAGTTCTGATTATAAATGAAAGAAATAAGGTTTCTTTGAAATAATTTTTACATTTACTACAAAGAAATGAGGCAAGTAATGAAAGGTCAGAACTTTTTGTATCATAGTTTTACTTATAATTTAAAAAGTCATTTCACAGTAGTATCTTGATATGCCCTTTCTGTGCTTAATAAATTAATTGATTAGAATAAATTAACCTTTTATGTGAGAGCTTACAATAAAGACAGTTCAGGACCTCACAGATTTTTATTAGCATGAGTTAAATTTAATAGTTCACCATTTTTGACAAACTTAGTTTGAGTCATACATAGCAGTACACCTTCCGAATATTTTTAAAAACCTTGTAAACTAGAATTTTTCAAATTTCTGCTCTTATATCTTTCTTTCTACCCAGGAAGACATCGTGCTTCCAGTCAGAAAATAATGACTCTAGGTTTTGCTGAGCATTAGTGAGATTATATTGATGTCATTTGCCTCAGAGTTAGGGTTCATGAGAACTCCCATTATAAATCTTTGACTCCAGGCCTTTATGACTTCCTCATAAAAGTTCCCATCAGTTTAAAACTTGATGGTCAAAGTCTTTCATTTATTTTGCCAGTCTCAATTCAAAGGCTGAATAATCAGAATATCTGACATCAAAAGGGCAGTTAAGAAAGTCAAGCGCAATGGAGCCTGTAGACGCAGTTGATCCTTGTTATTTGCAGTAGTTGTGCTCTAGAAAGTCAGTGAAAACTCTGAATTAGGGAACACTGAGGATTGTTTCTAGAGGAAATAGAGCATTAGCTTCCTGTGAGCCTCTGGTCACAACATTTTCCTCAACCAATCAATGCATAACCTTGCTTTACGTGAGTTTCTGTTTAATGACACCTTATTTAAATATAACGTTGATTCATTACCATTAAACTCGCAGCCAACAGCACTGTAACTCATGCCTGAGTGAAGCTTAATTAACACACATATTGTCTCCATAAGGCATGTCACAGTCTTTTGTGCTTTGGAACACTGGAGAGCACTTCAAAAATATTTTTAGGGGCCTCTTTAAACAGTGAAACCACCAACAAAAGCCACAAAACATGCGAAAAATGGCACTAAATGTATTGCAGAAACAAAACTTGTTTACAGCATGAGAGCTCAGACAATAAGGCAGAGCATCACCTTGTTCCATCTCAGCAGAGTTCGTGAGCACTGGGCTCTGCAAATCTTTGGCTGCTCTGCACTTGTCCATAAATGATCATAAAAACACCAAAAGTATTGATTTGAGGGGTTACAAATAAATTTTATCGAGTGGGTGAATTCGCAAATACAGAATCTGCAAATAATGACGATCCAACCATATATCTAAATACATCAAAAGAGTGCTCCAGGGGCCAGCCGGTGGTGCAGCGGTTAAGTGTGCACATTCCGCTTTGTGGTCCAGGGTTCTCTGGTTGGGATCCCAGCTACGGACATGGCACTGATTGGCAAGCCATGCTATGGTAGGCGCCCCACATATAAAGTAGAGGAAGATGGGCACGGATGTTAGCTCAAGGCCAGTCTTCCTCAGCAAAAACAGGACGATTGGCAGCAGATGTTAGCTCAAGGCTAACCTTCCTCAAAAAAAAAAAAAAAAAAAAATAGAGTGTTCCAAATTAGGAAAAATTTTAGACCTCACAAATGTAGATGAGTGTAGTTAAGAGTTCTGGGAGACAGCCTGACTCTAGAAGGGGCAAGATGACATTTCTCACCTTTCAGGCTCCAGAGAGAAAGCTGCGTGGTGTAATTCAAAGACTTGCAAATCTCCAGCATAACACTTTCTATGTTCAGATGAACATTTGAGATCCAAAGAGTTTATCTGACTTGATTCACACAGTACTAATTCCTGGCAAAGTCACTTCTAGAACCTGGGGTTTAGGATTAGTCTGGGCTTCTTAAAATCATTCGGGATAGATCATGGTTGGACAGTAGGTGGGCAGAGACTCTTGTAAACTAGAACTTGGGACTCTGGACCCCTCCAATTATTTTTCCAGGGGAAACAATTGTAAAGTTTTATTTCTGGACCTTTCCTTTGGCATTAAGGTATCTGTTGAGTATCTCATAGTAGTTTACCAACCTCAGAATGATCATTTCATGTAAAGAGCTTTTACATACACTTTATTTAGATTGGTTAGAATGTTATTGAGTTCTGAAAACAAGAAAACAAAGTTTTCAAAACTAGAGGGCAAATCATGGTCTTTTCTCCTAAATACAGAGTGCAAGCCACGTTTTACAGATCATCTAATATGATTCTCAATATTCAAAGGATTAATTAATAATATTGATTTTTTTATAGTGTTTCACCAGAATATCAACACTTGTCAAGCTTAATTTAATTTTCAAAGGTCAAGGTAAATAAAACAACATCTTTGTAGGGTTTGTAGATCTCTTAACCAAAATTACTAATTTTGCAAATTACAGGACAACAAATTATATACCAAATATATACTATATACCAAATTATAGGAGAGCAAATTATATACTAACAAAAATAAATTGATGAATTAACTTTCCAAATGAGAAAAGGCAGGATTGAATTGAAGCAACTTTTACTGTTGCTGTCATCCATACAAATATAAGCTACAAAATCACATTTTCAGAAGTGGAGTACTTTCCTGCTTAAGAACGTGGACCATAATCCAAAATCAAATGCATCATAAAAGTAAAATACTACCACATCACCACATATTACCTTTGATTCTACCTGCCATCAGAAAATAATTTAGGAAGCCTCTTCAGTTTCCTCAGTTTAATTAAGGGCCTCCAACTACAAGTGTAAACCTGAACTACAGCTTTGTTTTTCTTTATTTGAATTCCAAGGCTGCCTTTTTAAAAGAGTGACATGCTATAACAGGCAGTAAAGGATTAGTGCAGTCTAAGTTTATTTGCAACTGGCTTGAATATCCTGACAATAAGCCATTACTTTATTACAATGCTTTGAAGGATGAATCCAGCAAGTGTAGGGAGAGATAGGACACCTCTATAATTCTGTCACTCTAAGAGGAGATGTATGAAGTTTTCATTGTGTGTGAGGTTCCAAAACTCAGATTTTAAGGGGGCCAGCCCGGTGGTGTAGTGGTTAAGTTTGCACGCTCTGCTCTGGCAGCCTGGGGTTTGTGGGATTGGATCCTGGGCATGGACCTACATACTGCTCTTCAAGCCATGCTGTGGCGGCATCCCACATGCAAAAAAAAATAAAGGAGGATTGACACAGATGTTAGTTCAGGGACAAACTTCCTCACCGAAAAAATACCCCCAAAAACCCAGATTTTAAAATGTTCTTCTTGATGCAGCCTACTTTGTAGAAGTGGGATGGGGTTGGAGTTTTATTAGTCAGGATTTCATTTGTGCATCTTATTGGGAAATATAGCCCTTTCTTAAGGCATAAGACATAAGCAGAATTTTAATTACAAAGCTAGGATTCTCAGATGCCTTTGCTGGATTCCTTTTAATAGCCGAAGCTAAAGTCAAATTACACATTTACCGTCATTTATTTGCTAGCAAAATAAAATAGGAAACAGATTCATTTTTCCCTCCACCATCCATGTCTCTGAGGTTATCAATTCACCTTAATTAGTCGAGTAGCCTGTAATAATTTGTTATCCCACTAGGGATTCTAGAAATGTTTCAGGTGTTTTGTTCATCTCATTCACTTAACATGAAATACCTAAAACCCAGAAAATTAAGTAACACAGAAAATTGAGGAGGGGTAATGTCAATAATCTATCTAAACTAGTTCAAAGCCACTGGATGCCATTCATCTATTTTATCTTCATGACTTTCTCCTGTGAGATAATGTATATCAGACCAAATTTAATTACAATTACATTTCTCCCTTGGAATCTTAAATTAAATGGTAAAAAAAAAAATAATACAATACATGTATTTCTCTCAATTACTATCATTCTCTTCATCTGAAGTCTGACTCCCATGAAAAGAAAAAGTCCTGTTGATTTCTCTGTTAATGTGAAATTTGGGCTGTGGTTTCTTTTCAATCAGAGAATTTATTTTATTTTGTAGGTCAAGTTCAAATAGTCAATAACAAACCTTTAAACATGATCCAGAATTAGGATTGCCAGATTTAGTATTTAAAAATACAGGAGATGCAGTTGTTTGAATTATTTCTAGTTGCCTATGCTTAAGTACATTGAGATGGAAATCCCTTGCAATATTTTTCTTTATTTCATATTCATAGGCAGTTAGAAATGATACAAATTTTACTGGACACTGTTGTATTTTTAGTTGCTAAATCTGGCAATTCTATCCAAGATTAGAGTTCTTTAGGACATGCAGTTTAAGCGAGTACATCGTTCTGTGTCTGTGGCCTCCATTTGCTCCATCTTTCATACACACAACCACTGCTCAGTAGTAGGTGGGAACTTCAAGGGGCTAACTGTTTTTTCTCAATTATCCATACCAATTCCCTCTTTAATTTCCTAGCACTCTGTCTCCTCAAAAAGTACTATCCTATGCCAGTACAAATAGTAGTGCCCTTAACTGGGGGTGAATTCCAATTTGAAACTCTCTGTAGAGATAGCATCTCAAGATCAGCTCTGCAAATGATTATAAAGGGGACAATATTAATTTCCAGCAGGGACTCCAAACCTACAAGCTCTCCATTTGGGGGTATAAAACCATACAATTATGTTCCCCCACACAATTTCAACAGCTACCTTCTTTACCCTCCCTCACATCCCTGGGATTTTTCTCATTCTCTTTAAACTTTCTGGCATGTATCTCTCTGCCTTGTCCACCAGGGTAATTCTCCCTGTTCGTTTATTGCTCCCCCAGTGATCTATTTTTCAATCTGTGTCCATAGCTCTCAGCAAGTGGCCTGCACGCAGCTAGGGCTTAGTAGCATTTCTTAACTGACTGCTTGAAGTGTGTTTGGCATATTGCCGAGACGTAATATAAAATTTGCAGGAAGAGAATGCATTAATAAAACTTGCAAAATTTGGAGAAGGGAACTATCATTATCTAAACCCATTTTATGGAGGTTTGATAAAATGGTTTAAACACTTTTGGTTTCTTTTCAGTCCCAACACATTCCTCCTCTCATCTTCCTGCTGTGAGGTCCCCAAAGTGTCTCTTGTGTATCTCAGAGTCCAGAAACTATCTGAGCCAAGCACTAGCTATAACGGATCTCTAAAACTCACATATCTACAAGAGATAATCATGTTACTTAATGAGGGAAAAGGGTCTGTGTATGAAGCAACAGGAAGTGATGAAGATTTTAGCAATCTGGAGAGAGCATCTTGGATATAATCTTAGAGAACCTTGACTAGAATATATTTAGGAAGCCTAAATGTAAGAAATTGAACTTCTCTGGTTAAATAAAATGCATTAATTGCAGAGAAGGGTATGCCTGCCAACTAGAAAATAAGGGTCAATAGGTAAAAAAAAAATATTCCTGAATCCACTACTGGCCAGAGGAGAGGGAACACTGAGCCTTTAATCAGAGCATCTGGTCTACCCCACGGATGCACATATCCTCTTGGAAAAAATAGATGCATTAGATTATCATAGCCTATGATGGGAAATAATCACTTAACTCACCCACTTATTCTAATTTCTCACCTAGCAAGCAACTTTTAGATTGCAATTTTGGTGTCCCATATAGATTTTTAACAGAAGGCCATCCAAATGGATATTGATTCAGTAATCAAATTTTTCAAGAAAATTTGCTAAAGTGGCTAAATACATCACATTATTTTCATAAAATAAAATACTATACAGCAGCAAAGATAGATGAAGGAGAACTATTTGTAAACACATGGACACAAAGTTAAAGAAGAATGCATGTTGCAGTAGGATACATAGAGTATGATGCCATTTCTATAAAGTTATAAATATGTATAATAATATTATAACATTTAGGGATACATATACTTATACAGTAAATACCATATTTGGGAGAGTAGTTACATTAGTGAGGAATGGAGGGAATGGTGTAGTAGCCTGTGATAAAGAAGAGACATACAAGATAGTTCAAGTGTATGTTATATATTTTATATCTTAACCTTGGTGATGGGTACACAAGTGTTCATGTTTGCATTTTGAATATACGAAATATGTTTTTAGTAAACCAGAACAAACCAAAAAACAGCAACCACAATACTTTTTAAAAAACCTATAAAAGGAACTTATCATATATACATGAGTCTCTTAGGAGTTTGGCTGATATTAATCCATTCTCCCAAAGTTTGTTTCAGCAAAACTGAGGACAAGATTCTAGAAGACAGCTCCAACAACAACCTGCTTGTTCCATGCAGTTCTAGCTATTACTTCCATGTGGTCATCCCCAAAGCCAACAGATGTACGTGAATGTTCCATTAGAATGAGCAGAAACAAAATTTTAATCTTGACAACGTGAAGGAAAATTAGCAATAAGGTGCTAGAGGATTTTGAAGAGTAAACATACTCTCCTGGTAAAAACTCCCAGTAATTTCAATTTACGAAACTGAGTAGGTTTCAGTTCAATCTACCTTAGATATCATCTCTCTCTACTAAAATTAAATTTTTTGAAATATTTTAAATGCATAGAACTTTAAAATCTACGTATTTTACAGCTCTGTATCATTTACGAAATTCTCTGTCCTTGAGCTTTTCTAACTGATTCTGTTTTGTGCACTTGTCAACTCTCATCAGCATCGTCTCCTGGTGGAATATGCCACAGGTTTGTTAATAACTTCACGTTTCTGTTATCTCCACTAAAACCCGAAGTCGAGAGTTCTTGGCACTTGCAGTCAATAGAAAATTTGCCTGAAACACTCTGGAATTAATCATTTAATTAATATAACTAACCCAGTAGAATATAATTTATATACTTACCATTGAGAGTGCTTCTATCAATCAAATTAGTATCAACTGGCCAATAACCGCCATCTCCATGACGACCTGTTTATTGGGAAAGCATAACAGAATGTTAGTGGATATACGACATGAAAGCGCAAACAAAGCAAAAAAGACAAAAATAAATATTTTAAAGTACACACTTGAATAAGATTATTTTGGCTACCTAAAATAAAGCCTGAGAATGTTAATACCATTATACCTTGTGAGAAAATGTTATCTCCTACGTGTGTGAGAAAAATCTGTCATGAAAATAAACTCTTCTAAACAAGCTAAATTCTATTTCTCTCTATTTTTTTCGCTACAAAAATCTGGGCCCCCTCTTCTTCTTTTTCTTCCAGTATATTTGTTAAAGTGTCACCAAAAGGTTCAGCAGTGGTATTAGTCTAAATGTTTTCCTAAACATCTCAAAAGAGACGAGGGGGCTGTTCATGGCTCCCAGAGAGGCAGATTCCCCTCCTTTAGACTGCAAGAGGTCCCGCCTACACAATTGCCCATGTGATATGACTTTGCGGCAAATTATCATTATTATACTACAAGGGGACAGCACATGTCGTCTTATAACTGGGCTTTGAGTGGTCTTTGTGTTATGTGCCAAAAGGTGCCCAGGAATGAGATATTAAAAATGGAGTAAAGAGTAGGTGCTATGTCTCAGCCTACAGGGTCTGAATACTTCTTACAAACACACCAGGAAAGGAAGAGGTCTTCCTGAGTGTCACAGCAGTGGAAATACTGCCGGCCATTAAGTGTTGGACAGTTGTAAAAGTAGTATTGAAGAGAATTGAACCAGAAATAATTATACTATCATCCAAATTTAATTAATGGTGCTTCACCACAGGTAATCCTTTTTCTATTGCTACATTTGTAGAACTGTAATTCTTTGATTAGATTTTGCATTCTGGAATATCTATTAGGTAAATCATTCACAGAAAAACATTTGGGAGTTGAATCTATATGCAAACACATACAAGAATACAGCTAATTCTCCATTTTGTTCACATCAGAGGGTTATTTCTGAAAGCAGTTATAATCAGTGGATAACGCAGAGGAAGCCAACTGGGCCAGTCAGCTACAATAGCATATGTTGTTTTCTTACATGTATAGATTCTAGTTTTCTTCTTCTTTAAGACTTAAGTGCTGCTCTTGTGACACTCTTTTGCATACCAAGCTTGCTTCTTACTAAAGCTTTCCCAAGATCCCATCATTTTATTCACAAAATAGTTGTGAAGGAACAACTTAAAGCTTGTTAACAGACCATCGATTCATGATTTTTAAAATTCTTTTGATATTCAGAGCCAAAGTTAGAATGTCCAGCTTCCGACAAACAATGCAATAAATTAATCCAATCACACCATATTCTGTTTTCAGCATGAATTGGTACATTTAAAATCTTCTGGCCAATGACTGTGGGCATATAAAGAAGTGAGAATTAGGATGGAGGCTCTTGTGTGTTCATGGGATGTGTGTGGGGGGTGGGGAGTGAATGGTAAGAGGAACAACTGAAAAAAGCAGCAATTGTGAAAATTTAGGTAAGCTGACTAAAATGTGGACAAGCCTAACCCTTTCTCAAAATTCCTTGCTTGCGTGACTCTGACACATTTGGGGTTTCAAGGAGCAGAGGATAAACTTTGCCCATGGGACATTGTAAGATCAATATTGGAAGTAATGAAGTGAGACAGAAGTTCTGTATGAATATTAAGCTGGCTTTTCTCACATCTGAAATTGCAAAGCAGTCAGCCAAAAGAGATGCCAACAGCCCCATCACTTAGGCTAGTAAAGCAATAAATGATTCCTATTGGGAGTCATCCTGTATTGGCTGGAAATTAGGTAAATAGCCTGTGGAGGATTTTCCTTTTCCTCTAGCATCCTGACAAACATCTTTTCAATGAAGTTTCTCACTCTCCCAATTAGTTTGTAGGAAGATGCAAAAACAAGCCCACAAGCACATCCATATATTACTTAGTCATAAAGCTCTATGAGTATAGCACCCCTGAGATTTAGCGAGGCTATTAATTACATTGTGAATTTCAATAGGCAGAAGAAAATCAGACATCATACAGTTAGAGCTCTCCGTGAGATAAAGGAACCTTGGAAATGCTTTCTAAATCAGAGAGGGCAGCTTTAAAGGAAAGCATTCATTCCACACAATCTACTGTATTGATATTGGTTAACTTGTTGTTGGTTATAACTAGATTGATACCACAAAAGAAAATGAAGTAACTCTTAACAAACCCAACAGAAAGTACTTTAAAAAAACTTGATATCATCAACAAGCAAGATTGGATTTATTGTAATTTAGAGTTCTTGCACCACTTCAGTAAGGAAACATAAAGCTCATTTCTGGGATATTGATGAGTCTAGGACCTCTTCATCTAAAGACATGAAAACCAAGTTTTAATTTTGTGAGCTGTTATGTTTTTATTCTCTAAAATAGGTCTTTTAAATTCCAGGAAGTCTTTCTTTACGTATAAATAAAAAATTAAAATTGAAATGATTCTCCCACTGCTTGAAGGGAAGAACAACAAAGTTGTCAAAGGAGGAGATGCTAGAGACTTAGGACACTAAGTGTTATCCTTGGCATGTCACAGCATTTTTAAGGGCTTTTTGCTGTGCATCAAATATTGGATGTGTTTAGTCATCTTGGTTAACTTCATAAGCACTGATTTAGGGAAATAGAGGACTAATTAGACTCGAAGATAAAAAGTCAGTTAACGCAAAGATATAAACTACTATCCGATCCCAGAGGTCTTAATTTTAGTAATGGAGCATAAAACTGCTAATAATTCATTCAAAATTTATTAAGTGCCTACTAAATGCAAGGCACAGTCTTAGATCCTCAGGGAAGTGGTATTATAAAAACACATACTAGATATGGAACTGGCCATGACAGAGTTGGTTCATTGTATCCAGATCCTGCATAGGCCTATTCATGGTTAATGTTAGCTAACTGTGGAAGGTTTTTAATTTACTCCAACTTTAAAGGTTTAACAATAAGTTCATCTGTTACTATAAAATCACTATTAGGTTTAATTAAAAATATTTTTTCATTTATCTAGCATTATCAAAAGAGCTACATGCAAATAAAAAATAATGTATTATTTTCAGTTTTATGTTATGTGTTCCAAAATTATATTATCATAAACCCCTGAATTTCTTTTTAGCATACTGCACTAAATCTCTAACATTTTTCAAAATTAAAAATTCCAAGTAAGTAAATGAATACATGAAATTTAAATATAACATTTGTGGAAATAACAAAATAAATCTAAAAGTATATGAGGTTTTTTTAATTCAAATAAAGCTCACCGTGCTTCAAAAAATTGGAAATGGGTAGTTTTTTTTTCTTTATTATAGAATTAGTCATATCATGATTTACATGAAGACAGTGATCAAAATGTATTATATTAGTAACATATTATATTCTGCAGAATATAGAGACAAATTCTTGTATTACTCTGCACCCATATCTTCTTAATAATAGAAATGAGGGTGAGGAAAATAATTAAGATGTTAAGAGTGATGAATTTATGTATCACTTTTATCTAGATAAATATTTTATTCAGATAAGTCCGTTAAAAAATCAGTTCTTTCAGAAAGTTTTGGTAATTAAAGCAAATATTTTCTACTTCTCCGTATGTTTTGAATCAGGAAATGGTGGTTTCAAAACGAAAAATAAATCAAAAGTAATGAGGCCATGGTTAACTCAAAAAGGAGAAAGTTAGTGGCTGTTTTAGAGTTATTCAACATAGTTTATAAATTTTAACATTTATTTTATTTAGGTCCCTATTAGGTAGATTCAAATCAGAAATTTCATGCTCTTTCCCTTGGTTTGCATTTTTAAAACATTGTAGGGGCCAGCCCTGTGGCTTAGTGGTTAAGTTTGTGCACTCTATTTCGACCACCCAGAGTTTGCAGGTTGTTTGGATCCTGAACATGGACCTGTGCACTGCTCATCAAGCCATGCTGTGGTGGCATCCCATGTAAAATAGAGGAAGATTGCCACAGACGTTAGCTCAGCAACAATCTTCCTCAAGCAAAAAGAGGAAGATTGGCAACAGATGTTAGCTCAGGGCCAATCTTCCTCACCAAAAATAATATATTTATTTTATAATAAAATATTGTAAATTATAAAGTCATTTAAAGAATTTCCTTTTATATTTCATTTAAAGGTTAGATCTCATAAGGAGCCTTCTTTTCATTCTCTTTTGGCAAGAGACCTATGCTCTCTTGGACAAAAGTTAGTCTCCATGATTTCCCTGCCACTTCCTTTAGGAAGTGTGCTCCTTGCTATAGCTTACCAAAGTGACATGTGTACTGTGTTCTCAATGTTCGTTGAGTGACTAACGTGAATTAGAATGCTTTCTAATGTGAATGAATTTTAAGTTACTACTATTATACAAGTTATTTTCTTGTTCTTACATACTACTTAAAATACTGCTTCGATACTTTTATTGTGGTGTTTGTGTGTGTTTGTAAAATGAAACAACATTAATGTTTACATTAAACCCCTGCTTTTAGCACATATGGGCATGATAAAAAATTTTCCCATGATAAAAAATTTTCCAGCACCTACCAAAGATTAATTCAATTGGGATTTCAGTTCTAGAGTCTGGTTTTCTGAGTGAATGTTTATAAGTTCAGGGAGGAGTGAATGGAAAATTAATTTGCAAAGGACATGGAGAAAACTGGATGTGGTAGTTGTAATCTGTTCTTTAACCTATCTTCCCTGAATGGGGATAACAGAGGGTCCTCTAGAATAGCACCCGCACAAGCAATCCCAAGAGAAAAACCATGGCCCACAATCTAAACCAAACAAACTGACTGGTCAGCTAACGAGCATTCGGTATACATCTTTCCAAGAATGCAGAGCACTGAGGTATCTTCTTGATCTTCGAATTGGTTCTCCGAAAATAATTCTGGTGTTGATGATGGAAATTGCATTAATTTTGTGTCTTGTATACCACTGGATAAAGGATATCTATTAATGCCACCTGAACACAGTTTTACTGTCCAATATACAGATCACATTGAGATATATTTAAAGC